AGACCCACACTCAAGGGGCCAAAGAGCCGCATGTGGCTCGAGAGCTGCAGTTTGCCGACCACGGTCCTAAAGAGAACAGCCATTCTTGCCCTGCCGGCGTGGCTCAGGGGTTGAGCATCAACCCACGAACCAGGAGGTCACGGATTGATTCCCGGGTTGCGGGCTCCATCCCTCAGTGTGGGGCTGCAGGAGGCAGCTGATCCATGATTCTCTCTCCTCATTGATGTTTCTGCCTCTCTCTCCCTCTCCCTTCCTCTCTGAAATCAATAAAAATATATTAAAAAGAAAAAGAAAAAGAAAAAGAAAAAGAACAGCCATTCATGCTTAGTGGGTCTAACGTGAGACCCAGGCACGGATGGAAATAATAGCTCTGTAGCCGATTCTAATGGGCAGACATCACTCTGGGGTGGACCCTTCTCCCCCCACATGACCCTTCCTTCAGGGGGCCAGGCTGGGTGCCGCTGCTCTCCCCGGGGTCCCCTGACCCTCAGGTGGCCCGGAGACTGAGCGCCAGTCATGACACGTGGTGGGTGCCTAAGCTCCGACAGGTGCGGTGACGAGGTTTCGTCGGCAGCATCTCCCAAGATTACTATGAATTGTGAAGAGTTCCCCATTTTACAGATGGAGAAACTGAGGCACGGGAGGTTCAGTAACTCGCCCTGTATCACGCCGCTGCCCAATGGCAGAGCCAGGACTCCAGCGCGTCCACTGGCTCTACTCCCTACTTCACGGATAAGAGGAGGTCGCCAGGGGTGACACCCGTCACACGGCCTGTGCCTTTGCTTCAAACCTCACCGTGGCCGTGATGCCAACTTCAGGATGGGATGGATGGACCTGTGAGCCGGGTGCCACACCCAGGAAATAATGCCACCTTGCCCTAACCGGTTTGGCTCAGTGGATAGAGCGTCGGCCTGCAGACTCAAGGGTTCCAGGTTCGATTCCGGCCAAGGGCACATACCCAGTAGGCAGTGTGCAGGAGGCAGCTGATCGATGTTTCTCTCTCATCGATGTTTCTAACTCTCTATCCCTCTCCCTTCCTCTCTGTAAAAAATCAATAAAATATATTTTAAAAAAAAGAAAAGAAATAATGCCACCTCTCTGGGCGTGGAAGCAACTGGAAAAGGGAGGCAGTGGCAGGGGTTGGTAATTAAGTCACACAACCCCCAGGATTCAGGATATGAAGGAAACGGACACTTGTCCCCCCACATCCCGGCTCAAGTCTCCGTGGCCCTCTCAGCATCACACAGACCGGGTCCCGCCCACCGTTCCCCGGCTCGGAGAGAAGAAAGGAAAAGACAAGAAGAGGACCCGGGGTGGCGTAGAGAAAATATAGAGGCGTTTTACTACCAAAGATGCATTTTCCAAGAGCAAAGGCGTCGCAGTCCTGAAGTCCCCCGTGGCCCCTGGGGGAGGGGCTGAGTCCAGCGGGCACCGCCGGGCGGGCGGTCCTCAGTGGGCGCGGATTCTCCGGGAGATCTGATAGAGCTCCATGGTTGCCCTGGCGTCTTCCACCGAGCTGTGGCCCGACAGGCTGCTCTGCAGACACATGGACAGAGTGGGGACTTGGGGACGGGCCCCATGCGCAGGCCTGGTGTGACCCGCCCTTCCCTGCTCACACCCCGACTTCCAGGCCCCGAGGTGGGTCGGTGGGGGGGGGGTCTCCCCAGGACTCTGACACCCTGGACTCTGCAGGTGGCTGGAGCAGGCCTGGCTTCCCCCGTTAGCCGTGGGACCGGGGCACGAAGGCCTGGGACCGGGACATGGCCGGGCACCTCAGCAGTATCCTGGCAACCAGTGACCCCCAGGGTGCTCACACCCGGTGACCGATGGCACTGCAGACTTACTACAGGACACAGAGAGGCCGGAGCAGCTCTGCAGGGCGCTCCCGGGCACCCAGGAATATGTCACCGAGAGATTCCACAGTGTCCCTCACTCAGCCGGTTGAGAGGGTGCTGTTCAGTGAACCGCTGTGCTGGCCCTTCTGTCCTTGGCCCTGTGCGCCTCAAGGCTGACGGCGGAGCCCAAACCCAGCCCCATCTCCTGCTTCCTGCATGAGCCCCGCTCCCCAGCCAAGCAGGCTGGGGCTCCTGCGGTCCCCTCCCGCACCCCGTCTCCTGCCCGCCCCCACTGACAGCCGCCTTTCAGACTCCATCCGGATCTGGTCTCCTGTCCTGCCACCCACCTGCCACCCGTGCCCCCAGGACGCCTGCCCTGCCCTGCCCTCCACAGGACACTCCCCACAGTGTGTGCTGATGATCCAGGTAGGGGCCGCCCTCCACGGAACCACCAGTTCCTCCAGGACACGGCCTCGCTCACCTGACGTCCCCAGCCTCTGGGTCAGTAGGTGCGTGATCAACACCTGTCGCCCCGGGAGCCCTAACGAGACACGGCCTCTCTCAAAGGTGCACAGCCCCTCAGGACTAAGGGGACTCAGAGTGTCTCCGGGGCCAACTAAAGGGTGTCCCAAAATTCACGCAAGATTTGAATTTTACGCCATTTGTGCTGTAAAGCGTTGCCAACGGAAAAAAAAGATAGTGTGACAGCTGACAGTTCAGGGTTATTAAAAATGGAACGCTACATGAAAGAACAACGCGTTTTCATTGTGGAGCAATATTTTAAAAATAATGAAGGTTTGGTAACTACAGGTCACAATTTTTGTGCAAAATATGGTCGAAATAGTGATTTAACTTCATCAACTGTGAAGAGATTAATTAAAAAATTTAGGGAGACTGGATCAATTAGTGATCTTAAACACTCTGGCCGTCCTTCAACAAGTCCAACACAAAACATCAAAGCAGTTCGTGAGAGTGTTGCTGAGAGTCCAGGGACATCAATTCGGCACCGTGGTCTAGAATTGGACATTTTGAGAAGCTCTCTACAGCGTATTCTCATGATGTGCCTTTCCATACATAACCCTATACTGTATACTTTATGAATCAATAAAAAAATTACAATTTTTAATTAGAAGCCTGTGTTTTCTATCAAAATTACTTCTTGCGTGAATTTTGGGACACCCTTTATTTGCTCTGTTGCCCCTGCTGGGGTTTAGTGTCTTGGAGGGAAGGGCCAGGCCCCCCCAGACTGGACCCTCCTAGGGATGCCTCGGACGGGCTACCCCGAGGCCGGCTCTTTGGCCCCCAGCCTGGGAGGGGAGGGGGCACCTCACCTGGATGCGCCTTCCCAGGAGCCGCTCGCTGAGCACGCGGAGGGAGACACGCTTGCAGCGGTGCAGGTTGGCCTCACGCCATAGCAGCCTGTCGCTGGCCGTGTCATAGATGGCGTACTTGCTCATGTCCTCTTTCAGGGCGTCGAAGTCGTGCTTCAGGTCGTGACCCACCACCAGCTTGCCTCTCAGGAGCTGCAGGATCTGGCCGGGAAGACACGCACCCCCACACGCATCAGCCAGGGCCTCCAGGGTGGGTCTGGGGCCACTGGGTGCCGTCCTGAGCTGGCAAGGAAGGTGGGAGCAGCCCCTCCTTGACCTGCTGTGTGACCTTGGGCAAACCACTGTCCCTCTCTGAACTTCAGACATATCATGTACAAAATGAGAAGAGTGGACCAAGTCCCTCCTCACGCTTAGCAGTGTAGGTCTGTGTTCAAGGCCCATACGATGCCTTCACTGGTTTCAGTGTGGAGTAGCAATGCGTGAGCTAATAGAAAAATATCTATCGGTCTCTGTCGCCGGTTCCTGACCTAGAGCCCCTGAAACCCTTAGGATTTCCTGGGTGACAGGTGTGTCTCTTGTTCTATGGAGGCAGCTCTGGGTGGGCTCCTGGATGGGGGCTGGTCGCCAGAAAGACCGAGCCGTGATTAGAAGCTTGGCCTTTTCAGCCCCTCCTCTCGTTCTCTTGAGAGGGCTTCAGAACCGAAGACTGTAAACGATCGGTCAGTGTGGCTTTAAGCCATGAAGTTGATGGTTTGGTTACAGCACGTATAGAGCAACGGGGAGGGGCTGTAGCTCGCTAACTCTTGCAAATGGAAAAAAATGGGAGCACCAAGAAGCGAAGCCATTTGCCCGAGGTTGCTCTGATGATTTCCAAAAGGAGTTTGTAGATTTCATGACGCTCCTCTCGCAGCACCTGGGGTCTGACTCCCCACTGCCTCCCACAGGGGCCAGCCTGCGTGACTTCTGACTTCTCTGTGGGGCCAGTATCCCTGGGTCCCTGAGCTCCCCTGAGGCCTGGAAAGACCACACAGAGACAGAAATGCAGGCCGGAGGAGCCCCCTGCCAGACACCGCACCGGTGGGTGGTGGGCAAGCACACCTGGCAATGATTCCAGCCCACGGCCCCCCCTCCCCCCCCGCAAGATGCCTCCACGGACCAGCTGTCCCCCTCCGCCAAGCCCTGCCCAGATTGCGGGTACATGAGCGAAATAAGTATTGACGTTATTTGAACCGATAGGTTTGGGGGTGACTTGCTAAGCATCATTAGAGAAATGGGGCAATCACACGGCTGGCTCCTGGCAGAGCAGCTGTCAAAGCTGGCACCATCCTCTGCAGAAAGAGCAGGGGACCCCCCCCACCACCACCACCACTACCTCCCTGCAGCCTAGCGGCCAAGCTGCAGGGAGCAACCCTGAGCCCCTGAGAGTGCTTCCGGCCGGAGCCCTGCACGCGCACCCAAGCCTCTGTTCTCTCTCCTCCCGTGGTGGCTCTCCAGAGCCTGCCTCTGGCCTCACAGGCTGGTCCCCTTCCTTTTCCTGGGCTGTGTTAGAGAGGAAGGGAAGGGTGAGCCGGATGCACCCCGGTGGAAGGGGCAGTTCACGGCCCTCTTGGAGCTGCCTTTGGAAGCTCGCAGACAGCCTGCATCGCTTCTTCCGTGCGTAGCCCAGGACCCCAGTCTGTGCCCCAGGACGGCTGACACCCCCCCCTCATCCTGCTTCTGCCGTGAGTGGCCTCCTGAGACTTCACAGGGGGCCTCTGATAGGCTCTCCCTTGGAGACCAGAGGACCAATATGCCCACTTTACAGAAGAGAAAGCTGAGGCTCAGAGAGGTGAGGGGACTTGTCCACCGTCCCGTCCCAGCGCTGGAGGCATCGGCAGGCAGGGTGGCCGGCCTGCCCGCCATTCTCGTGGTTTGGTTGGGGCCTTCCCTGGACGCAGCCTGCTGGGCACTGGGACCAGGGCAAGCTCGTTTGAGGAGCAAAGCTGCGAGCTCTTGATGGACACCAGTGCCTCCTCACCCTGGGGCTCAGGGTGCCCTTGGGGCGTCTCACTGAAACCTGGATTCTGCATTTCTAGCAGGCGAGGGACCAGGACCTGTGCTCAAGGAAAGGGCGCTGGCCAGTGCGTAGAGAAAGCACCCAGGCGCTCGTGGGAGAGTGGGGAAGTGCGCCTGTGGCTGTGGGTCACACCCCTTCCCTTGCTCACATCCTGTGTTTGCAAACAATGTGGCCTGTTTTCCCGGCTGGGGGCTGGCTCAGGCCCAGCTCACACACAGCTCACACACGCCCTGAGGGAGCGGTCTCCCATTCCAGAGGCAGCCACTGGGGTCCCAGATGTTGTAGGGCCAAGTCATGGTGGGGTGCATTCCTGGGAAATTCATCACTTCCCGAGCCTGAGGGTCCCTGGGGGGCGGGGGGGGGGGCAGGACTCATCATGAGACAAGTAGCGTAAGGGGGTGCAGGGGTGGACACGCAGAGGAAGGACAAGGAAGCAGGGCAAAGGGGAGAGCCACAACCCTTCAGGACAGAAATGCTGAGCATGAGCAGGGAGAGCTGGCTGGGACGTGCTGTGTGGCCTCAGGGAGCTTAAAGAGCATCTCTGGGCTCCCCTGGCTTTCTGAGGCAGGGCTGGGGAGGGGAAGGGGGACCTTCTGAAGCCCAGGCAGGTGGGGAGGTACCAGCCCGAGGGACCTCAGAGCCGTGGGACCTTCCCCGGGAAAGAACTGGAGCCTGGAGCGGGGTGGGGGGAAGGGACATCGATCTGTCTGCCTTCGTTATCCTGGCACCGGGCCAGGTACTTTCCGCACCCCGTCATGCGGCCTCTCAGCAAGAGTATTTTTAGTTCCATTTTACCGAGGGTGGGGCCCAGGGATCAGAGAGGTTAAGACGCTTGCTCAGGTCACACAGCTGGCGAGTTGAGAGCTGGGATGCGCCTGAGCCTGTCACTGTGATTGTGGTTGTGATGGTCACCACCACGAAGAACGCAGGGGCTGTATTAACGTCATTCGTCTCAGAGCAGAGAGCACTCCGTGAAGGCTTCTGGAAGGCAAGGATCGTCATACCATGTGACCGCTCAGGTCACACAGCTGGCGAGTTGAGAGCTGGGATGCACCTGAGCCTGTCAACTGTGATTGTGCTTGTGATGGTCACCACCACGAAGAACGAAGGGGCTGTATTAACGTCATTTGTCTCAGAGCAGAGAGCACTCCGTGAAGGAACCAGGAAGACGGCTTCTGGAAGGCAGGGATCGTCATACCATGTGACTAACAGAGAGCAGGGCTGCAGAGCCAGGGAGGGGCTGGCCCAGGTGTCTGCCCGTATACTCTCCCTCCACCGAGTTTCACTCTCGTTCCAAGTATTTCCCAGATCAAAAGTCACCTGGGGCCCTTGTTGAACATCCAGAGGGCGATCTCTACCCCAGAATCCACTGACTCACACAGCGGGGGAGGGGCCCTCGCCAGCGTTCAGGGCGTTGTCTGCCCTGCATGAGTGTGGACATCTCTGCACTGAAGACTGTGCAGCAGCTCAGAGCTGCTGCTTCCATCATCCATTCACCTATTCCTCCATTCGTTCCTGTATCCACTCCTTCATTAGTTCCTGTATCAACTCTTCTATTCCTTCATTCGTTCCTGTACCCACTCTTCCATTCCTTCATTGGTTCCTGTACCCACTCTTCCATTCCTTCATTGGTTCCTGTATCCATTCATCCATTCCTTCATTTGTTCCTGTACCCACTCCTCCATTCCTTCATTAGTTCCTGTATCAACTCTTCTATTCCTTCATTGTTTCCTGTATCCATTCATTCATTCCTTCATTAGTTCCTGTATCCACTCCTCCATTCCTTCATTAGTTCCTGTATCCATTCTTCCATTCCTTCATTGGTTCCTGTATCCATTCACCCATTCCTTTATGAGTTCCTATATCCATTCCTCCATCCCATCATTGGTTCCTGTATTCATCCATTCATTCCTTCATTAGTTCCTGTATCCATTCATTGATTCCTTCACTAATTCCTGTATTCATTCTTTCATTGGTTCCTGTATCCATTCCTCCATTCTTTCATTGGTTCCTGTATCCATTCCTCCATTCCTTCATTAGTTCCTGTATCCATTCCTTCATTAGTTCCTGTATCCATTCATGATTCCTTCACTAATTCCTGTATTCATTCTTTCATTGGTTCCTGTATCTACTCCATTCCTTCATTAGTTCCTGTATCCACTCATCCATTCCTTCATTAGTTCCTGTATCCATTCATGATTCCTTCACTAATTCCTGTATTCATTCTTTCATTGGTTCCTGTATCCACTCATCCATTCCTTCATTAGTTCCTATATCCATTCCTCCATCCCTTCATTGCTTCCTGTATCCATCCATCCATTCCTTCATTAGTTCCTGTATCCATTCCTTCATTAGTTCCTGTGTCCATTCATTGATTCCTTCACTAATTCCTGTATCCATTCCTTCATTAGTTCCTGTATCCATTCCTCCATTTCTTCATTGGTTCCTGTGTCCATTCAGCCATTCCTTCATTAGTTCCTGTACCCCTTCATTCCATTCCTTCATTAATACCTGTATCCATTTCTTCCATCTCTCCATTGATTCGTGTATCCATTCACCATTCCTGGCTGCCAGGACAGGTGGCTGTCAGGGCCTGTAAGAATGTTGTCCTTGTGGAGGCCCAGGTCCTTTACTCTCATCTTCAGGAGGGGCCCGGTCCTCCTCTTTCCTGTCCCCTGCTTGTGTCTTCTCTTCATGAGGCAGCTGACCCTGGGGAAACCTGGATACTGAATTCATCCTCCATCTGGCTGAGCCCATAGGCACCTGCCCAACAGTGGCCCCCCAACAAGGCACGCCACCGAGGCGAGGGCTGCTGTGCTGGTTCCATATGAAATAGCTTGCGCTCCACAAGCTACCGTGGCCTCTCTCGTGTCCTCCGTGTCTCCCTCCTAAACCACGATGCTCCACAGGATTCGGTTCCCTTGTTTGCAAAGTAAAAATGCAATTATCCCTCCAATCCCCATCATGGGGTAGATGCTACTCCCCATACTGGGCTAACATTAAAAGAGCATTAACTTACAGAAGTGAGTTACAAGCTATTAAAAAGTACTGTTAGTTAAAAAAAAGAAAGAAAGAAAAGAAAAAGGTAATTAATCTGCAGGTGAGAGCCCTGAGTCTGTGCACTAAGTTGCATCCCAAGTTGCTGTGTGTCCTTAGGCAAGTCACTGCCCCTCTCTGGACCTCAGTCTCCTCATGAGTTCCTTCTTGTGCTGACAGTTTGAATTGTGGGGACTCCTCTGGCTTGGGCCTGCCAGGATGGTAGGATTTCTAGGGGCAGGGAGGCGGGACGAGGAGAGGTTTGTCTGAAGCACAGGTGGGTGGTGGC